GAAAGAGTGGTTCTTTCACCAATGTTGGTTGTATTTCATGTGCTCTCTGCCTTAGTAATTCCATTTCTCTATATCCGCTGAGATTTTGACCTGTCAGAAAAACTTTCACGGCCCCCAGGTTCCCATCTGTTAGTCTTGCTTGTAGAAACTGCCTCACATGCTACGTAAGGTGACAACAAAGAGCGTGCAGTCCCCAGCAGGCCGTGTGCCGTAAGATGGTCCAACTCCAGTTTCCTGTGCGTTTTGTATTCTGCGTTTGTCTTCCCTCCCATTGCATGGAGTGTTGTAAACAACCAGTGATTGCCTCCTCTTCCTCCTCCCAGGGTTTTCCTTCTCTTCTTTGGCAGGGTATGCACAAGTGTCAGTTCAGCTCAGCTCCACAGGAATTGTTCGGCTTAGTTTTCCTTCAGCGTTGCTGAAGGCTATTGCAGGTACCTCTGTTTTTCAGGGTTAGCACTAGAAGCAGGTCATTTTTGTCCATGGTCAGGGACTGGTGCTTGAAGCCACTTGTCTGGCATACATGTGACTAGCTGGTATGTGACAAAAGGATGTAAAGCAGAGGAAGACTTACCTGTCTTGAGGAAGGAAGCAGTAAGAGCTAGTGAATAGATATAAACATTTACCAGTATTTCCTTTATGTGGTGGCTTCATGCTTTGGTTACCTGAATCTTTCCATTCTGTTTGAGACTATATGACGTCTTTTGTTTCATTCTAAAGACTTTTCAATTAAGTTTTATTCTTTTTAAAGATAAATCTAGGAAGGGTGAATGATTGGATCAATTTAACCTGCCTTTTCTGCTTTATTCTTTCAGGATTGCACAGTATATGAAACAGAGAATAAAATTCTTCATGTGGTGAGTAGTGTTTGGATTTCTATTAATAAATGTATTTGTATAGACTACATAAAATTACAGAGCTATGTGTTTTGTGCTTTTTCTATGCAGTGCCAGTGTGATAATGAGCTATGTCTGAGTATGACTGAGTGAACGTATGGAACTGCTTGTGAATAGGTAATGATGTTATGGAAGCCGAACTTTGCATATGAGAAGCCAGGAACTTTGCAAGGGCTTGTGTTTGTCTGGCTCATGCCCATCTGTTATTTGTAAACCATGGTCAGAAGAGTGATTTTGAAAAATGTTTGTTTGTTTTTGTTTGTTTTTGTTTTGTTTTTTTGAGATGGAGCTGGTTGCTAGGCTTCTGTGAAATCATATATATTTATGTCAGTGATATAGCTTCATTTGTACAGCTTTGTTCCTCATAGGAGCATGGAGCTAGCCTACTGATAGGAAAATTAATGCAATTCTTTCTTTTTGAATTCTCAGCATGAATACAACGGTCTGTTCCCAGAATCTGTAGTGCTATTGATAATAAATAAAGCAGATAAAAGTTATCAGGGCGTCAGAACACAGGATGAGTTTGAAAGGCTGGTACTTTGGTGGACAGAGAGTCAAAAGCTTGCGTAAACTTTGTCTGAAAACTGCACCTAATTTTTAGATATTAAATTGCATTTCATGTTGTGGCTGTAGTTTAGTGAGTATTAAGTTAACCCAGGGCTTGTTTCTACAAGTTAGATATGGAGATATTCTTCCTAAGAGTGAGTAATGAATTGGTTTAATTTATTTACTGTATTTCACATCTAGGTAGGTTTTGATATCTTACTTTTGATATCTTATTACCAGAGCTTACGCAAGAAAATACTGCATTTCTGTATTTTAAAAGGTGAGCTTCCCAGTAAATTTTGCCTTTTTTTTTTTTTTCTTCTCCCCCCCCAGCGTTCCCATTTCAAATGCTTGGCAAGCTTGAATTCTATAAGCTTTTGATGCTTTGATTTCACAGTGATATGGAATAAATTGTTTCCATGTATTTTTAAGTTTCACTGACGTTTTCCCCCTGTGGGACACAAAGAATTAGCAATTTTGGTGAGGCTGACGTCATCATCTTTGCCAGACTGATCTCTGCAAGTATTTAAGTAATGAAGTTTTTAATTGCATAATCTTGGCAAAAGTTGAAGTGCTGTAAGTTTGAAATCATTATATGTAGCCTGGTTTTCAATACATGCTTGTTTTCTGCTGTAAGAACCAAGAGTTCTGACATCTGCTATATACAGTATATATCTTTTACAAATTAGCAAAAAGGATTGTAGAGGGAGCTGGCAGTGTTTAGAGCTGATGAAACATCAGTTAGTATAATCTTCAACAGAAAATTTTGAGGAAAATGAGAGGGATTTGTTTAAGATATGCAAGTACACAAATTTGAGATAGGTTTTGAAAGTTTTATGGTCTTACATCATTCAGATTCACATAGGCTTATTTCTTTAATCCACAGTAACTTCATTGTGGTGACAGGTGGACATCTGTATTATTGTGGAGAGCTTAATTAGCTTCAATGATTAGTGCTCAAGCTTGCATGGAAACATGAACAGAGCATTGAATATTTTACTGAAGCCTAGGATTAAAAACTACTATAATGTATTACATGTAACTTGGATCGTTTCTGCCAATGTTGCATTTCAGCTGATGGATGGGATTTCATTGGGCAAAAGCTGACCAAAAGCAATTGAGGAAAGAGGTAAATCTGTGATTGAATAATTAAAAGATGGGATTTGAAATCATATTTTGAATTTGGAAGGGAGTATTTTACACGTACAGCTGAAAAGGCTGATGATAGAATTGGAACTGAAAGCAGTCACTGTTCCTTGTAACCCCTCTCCTTGGAAGACAGAAAAAGGTGTCGTGGCTTTAGCCCATTAGACAAGCTGGAGAGGAGCAGTCTAACAAGTAGATGAAAAAAAGAGGGGAAAAGCCTGCTGATGACAAGATCTTGAGAGAGTGCATGGTATTTTTATGCCAGTGTCACAGAAGACAGGACATTAGATACCTTTATGAAATAACAATATTTGAATGCATGAGTACAAACTAGATGAAAGATGTTCTAGAAGAGGATTAAGAATTTAAATCTCTTGTTATGGACTATGCATCCAGTGAACTTAGAGATGAATGTTAAAAAGAATGTTCTCTGATATAAAAAGAATAGTACTAGATTTTGGTAAAGGCATAGAAAGAATCTTGAACGAGAAATGCTGGGAGAACTAGCAAAGATTGGGAGGAGAGGACACCTACACAGGTATTACCAAGAGAAAAAGTAAATTTTCTCTTCTAAAATTTGAAGACCAAGCTATTGCAAGTCCGTTTTCTGAGTACATTTCCCATCTGCACACTATGCAGACTCCTGGAGGTAACGGAAGTGGTACCTGGCCAGCATCACATCTAGCTGCCTTGGAATGATCTGATACCAACATATAGCTGTGTTCGCTGGGATGACTTAGAGAGGAAATTGAATTCAAAGACATGGGCTCACTCTGCATGATTTCACCTACCATGTTCTCTTCATGACACAAGGAAACAAGCTTCCTCACAAAAGTGAAAGGCAATGACTTACAACTAATTAGAAATTCATGCAATTAACCTAAGAAAATCCTTGTTGCAACACATATTGTTCTCACTAAGGACTGAAGTAAAATTTTAAGAGATCCTTCTTACAGAAGTAAAAAGAACTACAGCTACAGAAATGAAAATAAACTAAATGACAGTTATGTACTCTTATTCTTTAGGACACCAAGAAATTTATCACCTTAGGAGCAGATCATTGGATCAAAGTAGTTGATTTTTGTCCAAGTTACCTGTTCGTGGTCCAGTGGTTTACTTCAGGTTGAACTTGTGTTCTGGATTGAACATCTCCATTGTTCACATGGCTCAAAGTGTTATTTTGGACTCATATGCTATGGTTCAGTGGTGGGAACTCTGTAAGCACACATCTCCTGTGGAGATGCTGCCCTGTTTCCCCTGGAGGGGGCAGGTAGGTGTGTGGGCACAGGCTGGGGATGTGAGACCACTCAGCTGCTATTGAAGTGTATACTCGGATACCTCCAAAGTTAACCCATTGCTGAGCCTTCATGCTTTCCCCTAAAGCATGGTGCAATAGGCAACATCCCTCACCAAAGGCAAGATCCTCAATTAAATGATTGCTTGGTTTGCTTTAATTAGATAGGGCCAAAAAATAGATGTGCTCATATTCTAATGCCAGTGATTTCTTCTGAAAAGCAAATGAATTCCCTTTCTTTCACAGATGTGGGTGTTCGTGTGGAGAGACTGCTGAATCACCTTGTCCATAGATAGTTTATTGACGTTGAAACATACTGATTCAGATGTTAGCTTTTTAGACATCACTGATGTGTTTAGGAAATAGTATTATGTGGAGACAGAACTGTATAGCTTCAGCTTATATTCAAGAAAGAAATACTTTTGTTTACTCCAAGTAATTTGAGTGTCAAGTGCTGTATAAAAGCATTTTGATTGTCACTCATGATACTAGGTTAAGTAGTAAACTAATCTGTGTTACTCAACTAAACACATAAAATGTATGTAAAGGAAAAAGGTCTTACGGAAAACTGATGAAGTTTTAAGAAGAAATTACCAACTTTAACTTCTTTATTTCTTCTAAATGGAATTGCAAAGTGTGTCTGGGAAAAATGTCTGTTCTATAATTTTCTGTCCTAGAATTGCAGGTGTGTTGAAACAATTATTTTAAAGACAACTACATTTCTTAAAGTTGTTTGTTGGGTTTTTTTTTGTTTTGTTTTGTGTTTGGTTTTTTTTTTTTTGTGAATTCGTTCACAGAAACACTTGGTTTCTGTGGAATAAGAAGCATAAAACCATACAGGAATAATATGTTGGTTTTTCCTCATTAAAATGTTGATACTTCTGAAATATTAATGAATACAGAGAAATGCTTCATATTTCTGCCACTTCATTTCTCAGTATGTTTTTTCCAGGTTACCTTTTGTTCAGTAAGTGATGTAATAAATAAATAATAATAATAGCAATAATTTATTAATGTAAACAGAAAGTAAATATCACCAAAAAATAATATGAACAGAAGTAGATGGCAATAGAAAATATTAACTGAAGAAGAACAAGTTTTAAAAGACAGTGGGCCTAAATATGGAAGGGTAAGCCATAGGAGTAGTGTTTGCTTCAAAACTGGAAATTAGTGTGCTCTTGCTAGTTTATATTTTGAATCTTTATATTGATTTAACCTGAGATGATAAAATGTATGGAAAACTGCCCAACTTAAAAGGGTATCAGTTCTGCTTATTTGGGGAGTTATAAGTTAATTGTTGCAAAAGTCTGAATGGAACTTTAAAATCTTTGAGGAATAATTCATTGATTCCATCCAGCAGCTCAAGGCTCTATATGATGGAAATATCTAGTTCAGTTTAATCCATGTGACACAGTAGAGTATTAAAGTGAGAGCCAAGCAAGAAGGACTAATTATAGAAAGTAGAAGCCAGTCTTCAGTCAGATTAATACTAACTTTTAACTGAATTTTCTTTTTAGTTCAATTGTATAAAAAAAGAGAATGTTTTCCTAAGGAATTTCACTTTCTTAAAATTACATTGTTTTTTTCTGCAAAAAAATACAGTAGTTGGAAATAGAGTTGGAAAACTGTAGAAAGTAGAACCGCAAAATAAAGTTAATATTCAGAAGTTTTTGAAAAACAAATGAGCTAAATAAATTTTAAAAAGAGTTACTAAATTGAAAAAGAAAAGAGCGAAAAAAGAGCATTCTGATCCATTATTTGTTAAGAACCTTGCAGAAACCACAGTGGTCATAATTCACTCCTGTCCACTGTAGCTGAATATTTGTTATAGAACTATAATTGACTAAAAATGCATTGTCAGGAGTATCATTTTTATAGTCTACTTACATACACGTGCCATATCAATCTCAGTTGGCAGATACTCTCACATTCAGACCTTTGAATTACTAAATGTTTCCCATGGAATTTCTACCAA